GTACTGGACGTTTTCAATAAAAGATTTGGCGGTCATGAGATTAACAAAACTGTTGCTGAAGCAACATTCATGGATCCAAGATTTAAGAAAGCTGTTTTTGGCATCGAGACAAATGCAGATAATGGTCAACAATTTGTTGTTGACGAGTTGATGATGTTGGAAACACAATTCAAGCTCAATTCCAGGTGCCAAATAGATCTCTACTGCCATCTACTTCACGTCTTGAAACACCTACAACTTCATCTTCAGATTCCCAGCAGATAACTTCAGAGGTGACTGGCGAGAATTTATGGGAGCATCTAGATAAAGGGGTATTGGAATTTTCAAGCATGGAAAACCCCAAACAACAGCAATGATCATGTTGAAACAGTACGCAGAGCTACCGTATTTGGATAGAAAAGCCAATCCACTGAACTTTTGGGAACTTCGCAAAATCACCAACAGCGGCCTTTATAAAACAGCTTTGAAGTATTTATATGTATTCCAGCCACTTCTGTGCCTTCGAAACGAGTGTATGCAACCAACGCTGCAATAGACTGGAGTCCAAGAAAGTTGACCAAATACTTTTTTGAACAGTTATTTCAAATAACTTTTATTTTCTTATCTCTATTTTGTTTTTTTATATATTCATTTAGTTATGTACGGTATTGTGAGTACGGTTTAGTTTGCTTAGGTGGATACCTTCCCAAATGTTATATTCTAAGCTGTTGAGTTTGTGTTCCTACTTTTGTGAAATCAAAATGGTTTGATTTTAATGCTTACTATATCTGCCTAGTGTTTAGATGTATAGGATTCCTTAAAGTTGTCTCAAATTACTAATAACTACTTAAATACGTGAGTATATTTGATTATGTTCTTTTTTTGTTTATCTCCGTAGAACTCCTATGCTCTATGTTTTTATTTCATGTTTATAATTATTTTTCATTAAAAATTATGGATTTATTATTGTTGTGTCATTGTGCTCAACCTAACCTACACGCTGTTTCACTCCTTTTCATTTTTCTCTTTTGTTCTGAAATCGGACTCTAGTTCCGTAGGTACTAGAATTTTCAGACTTGAATTTCTAGACTCAAGTCCAGCCGGACTCGAGTTAATATTCGAATAACAAACATACAAATTCGAGTACTGGTCTCGAATAGGGTATCGAGTCGTAATTCGAATACCGTATAAACTGACTCGAGTCGACTCGATCCATCAAAACAGCGACTCGGCACATCACTACGTGGTATTACTATTACTACAAGCAGCCGGGGTTTATCCTTTGTCAGTGTTGACCACTACTCTATACAATGTTGCCAAAATAACTACCATATAATACATGAAGTATTCCAGTTACCGGACAGAAGGATTTTTTCTTTGTCAGCGAAGTATTTTTTCAGGTCTTTAAATAAAACCTGAATTTTGATATCGTATTGTAATGAATTAAAGAATTAACTGTCTTAAACACATTTATTTTTAACAATATTTTACTTTCACAACTAATTTATATACAACACTTAGCACCTAACGCTTAATTTATCTTCACAGTTAGATTTATTTCTTTAAACGCACGATTCACTTTCTAAGTACAGACTACTCCTCGGGACAGAGAGCGGCCTTTTTATATCGTCAACGAACGCTCCGGATCTCTCTAGGGATTTCGGCACTGGCCTAGATTATTCGCGGTGGCTTATCGAGTGCATTGCCGATGAGTTATGCGTTTGTTCGCTGAGATATCGGTCAGGGAAGGCTTCAGATTCATTACAGTATTCTTGTATTGTACTTTTGTTTGGAAATGGAAGTATATTCTTCTCTTGCGTAGTGCATTTCGTGACAAAATTTGCAAAATATGATTATCAATCCATTGGAAACACTTTTCCCTCACCAGAAAAAAAAATGTTGTCTCTTGACGCGCGTCCAAAATTATTTCTTAGATGTTATGTTAATGTCTTTATATGCATCTACACAAATGATAACTATGCACAATGAGGGTCAATTAATTAATTCCTAGTATTCTGTTATTTTTACTTAATAGTTGACTGATAACTAATTTTTACCTACACATCTTATAAAAAATATAGTCTTAGTCATCTCCTGATGATGCTAACTTGGTTAGCGAAATGCACGTGGAGAGACAGCATTTTTTTCTGGTGAGGGAAAAGTGTTTTCAATAGATTCATTTCACGCCAGAGGTTCCAAATTCTACATATCATACTTATCAGTTCCGAAGTAGACCAATCACACCAAAAATCGGATGGTTGATTTCATTAAAACATGTAAGGGAAAGTCGGGTAACTGAGGATACACTACAAAAACACACTTTTGTCTATTTTCCATTTCATAGCATGTCACTACAATTATTATCGATATCATGTTTGTCGTGGAAATATGCTCTCCGGCTTCAAACATAACCTCAACGGGTAAGATGGTGCGGGTAAGATGACGAACTTCGTCATCTTACCCGCACCTTACCCGTATCTTACATGGTGGAAGATACTGCAATACTTTCAGTTGAGATCAAAGTCAGTCTCTTGCCAACTATATAACAGATATCGACAGAAGGGCATTCGGCTCACAAAAGTTCACCTCGAGAGACTAGCATCTGAATATGCAGAGCAGAACAACATTCCACATCGGTTTAATGAGTTATCAAAAATAGCAGGCAAAGACTGGATAAAGTCTTTTCACATGAAATTCAAAATACGTCTCAGAATTCCCGAGCCTACGTCGATAGGACGTCTCATGGGTTTTAACAAAATTGCTGTTGAGAAATTTTTTCACATCCTTCGAGAAGTTCGAGATAAATGAAATTTTGAGGCCAGTCTTATCTATAACGCAGGCGACAGTGGGTTATCTTTTGTGCCTACCAAACTTTTAAAGATTTTGAATCCTACCAGGGTTCGACGTGTTACAAGAATAGTGACTGTAGAGCGTAGGAAGAATACAACTGTAGTAAGCGCCGCAAAGGCACTTGGACATAGTGCCCCTCTTTTTTTATTTTCGGGAGAATACGAATGAAAAACAAGTTGCTGTTTGGGGCACCACCAGGGTCCAGAGGAAGTGCCCACAAAAACGGTTGGATGTGTACGGAGATATTTTTGAAACATCTGAAACGCTTCAAAACTCATACAAATACCACACCTGAAAATCCAGTGCTTCTATTGGTTGACAATCATTCTTCCCACCACATTTCCTTGCAAGGTATCAACTATTGTGGAGAAAACGGAATAGTAATGATTGGATTTCTGCCACACACCTCACACCGATTAAAGCCTTCAGATGTGCCTTTTTTTGGGCCCTTGAAAACATATTTTTGTCGAGATTACATTTCTTCGTTGTCAGTAACACTGGTCAAAAAATCACTGATAAAAATATTTGTAGAATTTTTATAACTCATATCTGAGGGCTGCAATGGTTGGAAATGCGGTTGAAGGTTTCAGAAAGTGCGGGATTGAACCATTCGATCCCTTCATTTTTGGCGATGAAGAATATGCCGCAGTTAAAACAACGTAGAAGGAGAATTATCTACAAGAAATTAATTTCAGATCTATTTCAGATAACGACAAATCCGACAAGCAGCTAGTGAATCACTATTCAGATGAAAATTATTTGGAGAGATTTGTTTAAGATAAATAAAATCATAGCATTCGACAAGTAGGTATGGAATCATTAGACGATTTAGCGGATGAAGAGCTGCCTCTAGCACATTTCGTAAACACAGTTGTTAATTTTTCTTCTCTTTTTTCACTACAGCAAGAAATAGTCTTACAAAACGCCAAAGAAAAATGAACCTTCCTGTACAACCGCAATATTGGCCATATCAAAAGTTAAGAAGACAATTTTTCAAAAAAATTCTAGTTCAAGCCGAGTCCCAGTCGAAACAATAACTTCATCCAAAATTTTTGACATTACTCCGGGTCCAAAGCCACACCTCATCTGAAAACTCAACCGAAAGTTGCGTCACAGAAACCCAAATATGAACGGCTAGATAACAGAAAAAGTAGAAAAATGAATGTCAGTATTATCACTAGCACGCCTATGAAATGACAGTTGGAGGATGAGTTAGAAAATGAAAGGCAGAAAAGAGATGCAATACGAGTGAAAAACAAAAACATGTTAAAAATCAGAAAGAAATAAAAAACAAAAAGAAAAAAAACATGCGAAACCAAAAAAAAACCGAAAAAACTATGTCCTGCTTGCAATGAAAGCTTCGAAGATCCACCTACAGAAGACTGGATTCAGTGCTCGCAATGCTTGAGATGGTGGCATGAATCTTGCACCGATTATACTTCAACTTACCCGCATATGTCCGTTATCTTAGCCTACCTTCGGGAAAGATGACAAATTTCTCAAGTACATAAGTTTTTATTTTTGTTAACAAAACATTTCAGTTTTTTTTTAATACTATCTCATATTTTCTTGTGTAAATAATTTCAATGTCGAGCTGAAATTATTTTTTTTCTGTTAACGTCGTCAACTCACCCGACTCTACCCTAAAAACAAGATAATCTGAATCCTTGAAGGAGTGTACTTTAACGGCTTAGGGAGTCGACAAACTAAATATTCCTATGCTGTATTATTTACCTAGAAGCCAAAAATAACATGATTATTTAAAAGAAAAGAAATAAAATTAATAAAAAAATGCATTTTCGGTTACATAAAAACTTTACTATTCCAAATACAACTAAAGCACACATTTAAATAACTGCCGATGAGAAAAGACTGAAACATATGAACACTAATAAAGACACAGATTATCCCATTCAAGAATACATCAGAATACATCAAGAATACATCAGAATACATGTCCCTTTGATAATCCAGAAAGAAATAATACGGGACCCACAACCATGATACGAAAAAAATGTCAAATGCTGCAAAAATAATATTTTTATCATTTGTTGATTAGTAACAATATTCCCGAAGTAATGCCAAACCATTATTCTGGTAAACCATTGATAAACACTTGAATGTTCCACGATCAATCATCCATTTTTGAAAATATTTTTGTAATTTTCTAGGTCGTCAATATTCCCGGATCCAAAATATTGGAAGGTGAAGTAATCACTGACTACGTAGGATCAGCTCCACCCAAAGGTTCCGGCCTCCATCGGTATGTTTTCGTTTTGTACAAACAACCGGAGAAATTAAAAGTTGATGAACCTCGCCACGGTCCAACCGATGGAAACCGTGGACAGTTTTCGACGGAGAAGTTTGCCAAGAAGTACAACCTGGGAAAAGCTGTTGGAGGAAACTTCTTCCAAGCTCAGTGGGATGATTCTGTACCAGCATCGCATAAAAAACTTGGGTTTTGAGGAAAATCAACTATAAAACTGTTTGATACTGTCAATCATCAAGTTTTTCGTTTACTTGTAGATTTAAATTACAGTATTAGTACTCTGTTCCAGTAACTGTTTCTTGATACTATGGATTATTGAATAAAACATCTCTTCATATTTATTAGATACTCTTTTTCATTTGTATTTTTACTTTTTTGATCGAACATTCACCAATACTTAGAGCAATTTCTATCATATTTTAGAGTCCTAATTTTACTCATGAAACATTCAAAAGTAGGTTTTGCCGATGTCAGTAGTTCAATAAACTGTGCCATTAAATTGTATGATTGAACGCAAGAACTAATTGATAAGGATAATAAAATCATAAAATCATTTATGAAAGAAAACATTCATTTGCATTCTGTTTTACCGCCACATTGTCCAAAGCCTACTTGATCAAAGTGTGCGTTTTGGTCGACTTTGATTATTTTTAACAGTTATACCCTCAAAACTGAATACCGTAAAACCATTTTCAACTTGACATGTTATAAGTAAGATCGACTACATATTCCCCCTATGAAGACTCTATTTATAGGATCGACAGAAAACTCAGTCCTCGGTTGTCAACAATAAACGAAGCACCCCAAGGCGATCTATTGAGTCCAGCAACGCATTTGTGACTCAGCCTAGCATCATTGATGACAATTATGTCAGGTCGAAACAGCCCTTTCTGGTGCTTTGCAGTGAAAGACGGAGGAAGAATTTCGCCGGCGGTTGATGTCTAAACTTGGCTTTGCATCTGACCACTTTGGGGGACTCGCTTATCTTTGATATTCGAAAATTGAGTCCTCTGTCGATCCCATAAATGGCGTCCTCATAAGGGAAGATGTCGACTTCACTTACAGGGGCTTGTCATACAAGGACACTTGAGTCCAGCAACGCAAGTGTGGTTCAGCCTAGCACAACTTAATATACCCATGGCATGTCGAAATAGCGCTATCTGGTGTCGAATTATAAATGCGTTGCGTTTGTACTCTGGTATTCAACTAGTTGCTTTGCAGTGAAAGACAGAGGACAGTGTTTTACCCACTTTATCAAAAAAATTTGAACGAGCAGTTGAAGAACAGCTGAAAAATCATCTCTCTCGGTTTTCTCCACTCCCGGAAGTACAATCTGGGTTTCGCAAAGGTCATAGCTGCGCCACTGCTCTGCTGCACATCGTGGACGACATAATTAGGGCTACCGATGAGGGTCTTTGTTCTGAACTTGTGCTATATGGGTTTATTGGGTAGTGCTATCAGACTTCTTGAATGTTACATCAAAAACAGGGAACAAAAAGTGTGCCAGGGTGGAATCTATTTGAACTATCTAAAACTTAAGTCAGGTGTGTCACAGGGTTCAATATTGGGTCCACTATTGTTTACAATTTATTCATCAAACATGTTGCGTAGTCTAGAACACTGTAAATTTCACCTTTATGCTAATGACACTCAACTATATCACAGCTTTCTCCCTTAAGATGTAAAAAACGCATGTAATTAACAATGATCTTGAGTCATTTGTTGAGTTGGCAAGAGATCACTGTCTACTACTAAATGCCACTAAGTCGAATATCATCCTTTTCGGATAAAAAAAGAATCGCCAGAAAACAAGTGAATCTCTTACAATCACGATTGATAATGTTCCTTTTCAACCCACAAATGAATGCAAAAATCTTGGAGTTATAATCGACTCTGACTTGCGGTTTGAGAAACATATAAACAAACTGTGATGCACTGGTTTTATCGCGCTTCAACTACTCGGATACTTTATATGGTCTATGTTTAACCAAACAGTAAACTCAGAAGATACAGAAAGTACAAAACTCGTGTCTACGGCTCATTCACGGAATCAGGAAATATCAAAGAATATCCCATATAAGTTACGAGATACGGGGTGAATCACAATTGAAAATAGACGGATATTAAATGCTGCTAATTCTTGCCTCCTGATTCATTTTTACAATGTATCATTCAACTAGAGACAGAATTTCTTAATCATTTCAACAATTTATGTGCCACTGATTGTGATAATTTTCCTTTGGATTATTTATTTTCTCTTTTCACAAGGGTAAAAATTTATTATACTTTGAAATTTGCCAATAGAAATTTGAAAACAAAAAAAAATCAAAAACTCATCATTCTAAAAAAACTTTTAAATATATTAGCATAAGTTTTTGTTCTGAATTGTATAATCTTACTATATAAAATATACGTTTATTTCACCTCCTTGTCTTATTTTCTATCAACTCCTAAACAGTTCACAATTATATGATACATTTATTGGGAGCTCCTCGTAGCAATGATGAAGTCAGATCATGGTCACATATTTTTTGATCGAACCTCGTGCAGAGGTGCACAATAGCTCTTAATCGACACCCTCCTGCCCCGCCCCGAAACATCAAAGAGACCGACGACGGGAGTGAATTAATTTACTTCTGTTTACGGTGTCTTAACCCATCTAGTTTTAAAACTGAAATTTTCAAGCGATCTTTCAGCTATAATATATGCCAAGTGATCAACCTGTTACCAAAAGAAATAAGAAATTCAGAACTTTCTGTTTTACGGAAAAGATTCAAACTCCTTTTGTTCGAAAGCCAACTTTAATTATAAACTGCCCATTATTCATCATTGTGAGACCAGAATAAGTCTCAGTAATGGACGTCTTCTCCAGCATCTTAATAGATATTTGAACAATCCCAATTTTTTTTCATGTATTACTTTTTTTTTGTCTTAGCTTAAGTAGAATCTTTTTGAGGTTGAGTGGAACAACAATTCAGTAGCACTTGTGCTAACTGAGTTGAACTCAGCTATCAGCAACTAGCTCTGTAATTTATCTAAATATTTGTATGCAACTACAGCTGGGAAACAATAAAGGCGTTTTTTTTTCACCGTAGTGTGCGCTGGTCAGGCCCTATCCCGCGAAGCCTCGATACATTCGGGAGGGCGCGCCAGCATTATCAACCAATGACACTCCCCACACTATGGAGTAAGTGATCATTGGGTCCGAGAATCATGTGCCCTGAGCAAGCGCATTGAGCCAAGAATGACAGCCTTCTGCATCTGTGCGGCTAAGATTTCTGCCTTAGTGCGGCAAGCCGGTATGATTTCAAGATTCGAGAGTAGAGAGGACATCATTCCCCCACAAGGACTCCAATAATCAGAACAACCATCTTGACAGAGTGATGTGGATAGAGTCTGCGGAGTTCGAAGAGAAAATCTCGACCCACTAGACCTGAGAAAAGCGAACATCAGGCGCTTTGATGAGCCAAGGTCTCCAATGTTATTGAAGAAGACCCCATGCATTGGCTTATCCTTGTGTCTCCGCAGAAGTAAGGTGATCTCTGCGGCTTTTATCTGAGCTATTATTATTATTAATTTCGTCAGCGGTCGATGTCGAAGCTTGGCTTCACAACTGACCCTCGTTTATCTTTGATATTCGCGGATTGAGTTCTCTGTCGATTCCATAGATGACGTCTTCGTAAGGGTAGATGTCATCGATTTTTCTTACTCAGGCTTGTTATTTATGGAAAGTTGAATCCAGCAACGTATCCTTAATGGCAGACCGCCCAATGACATCCTTGAGTTTTCACGTTATTTTTCAGCGAAGTCTTTCATTTGATAGCATCATTTGATGACGTCATTCATGTCGATTCCATAGATGACGTCTTCGTAAGGGTAGATGTCATCGATTTTTCTTACTCAGGCTTGTTATTTATGGAAAGTTGAATCCAGCAACGTATTTGTGGTTCAACCTTGCACCACTGATGAGACATATGGCGCATCGAAACAGAGCTGTCTGGTGTTGAATCATAACTGCTTTGTGTTTGGACTGTGGTTTTCAACTTGACGAAATTATGTTACTTACATTCTTTTGTATATTGATTTATCAATAAATATTTTTTGGAAACACATAATAAATAAATAAAAACTCTCAACGGAATCTGTTCACTACTGACTAGTATCTTAGTAGGGTAAAAATCGATTTTTGAATTGATGTTTTTTTTCTTTCAGATCTTATGAATTCGGTTCATCAATTTATTCTAATATTTATTTCCAAGATAATCCCTGATGGAGTTCCTATTTCCTTCTCAACACTGAAAAGGAATCAATATTGGATTGATCCTTGAAACATTACTGCATGGTCTTGAAGCCAAGTCCAAAAATGATTAGGTTTAGATTCTGGGATATGAAGTATACTATGGTAACTTCTACCTCTTCAACCTGAAACTCTCTCTGTTTGATAAGGGAGTTTTGTAGAATGCTGATTCTATTCATTTCATTCCAGTGAAAATGTTTTTCTTTCTTCGAGACTACCATTTTAAACTGGGATCATTTTTTTCTTAACTTGATCTCGATATCTTGAGCCTTTTTTTCCATGATTGTATATTTCAATTTCTGAACTATTTTTAATGGGAAAGAGTGTGGTGAAGGAATAAGTATCAGGAACGCAAAATTGTAGGTGAAATAGTTCCAAAATTAAATGAGTGCGAATTGAAATTACAATTTTATTCTTCGAGTTTTTCATTCAGCAAATAAATCTATGGCCTTGTCATAATTTCACACGTGTACAATTCGATTTTTTATCACTAAGATTGCAAGACTCAATAAGCGTTCCTAGTTCATAGAAGACCACAAATTATTTTTAATTAGATTTAATTTATTAAAATTTCGCTCACAGCTTGCGGATGTGAAAGTAATCGTGAAGTAAATTCGCAGAGCAATTCAAACATTAGAGAAAGCATCCTGCAAATCATGCGCATAGATATTGTTGTAAATCATGCCCCAAAGAAAATAACGCCGGCCGCCACTGTTAGCCATATACCAATTGTGACGTAGCTAATAGCGCGCGAATGTACGATGTTCGCTGCCGCTTCAGATGTAGCGAGAATAATGCTATGCTATGGAATTCCGGCGAATTTTCTATCGTTTTCGATTACGATATGCCACGAGCATATCGAGTCGGTCAAGTGGAACTTACAGTGCGGTACGGTCGTAAGGCGATAGACATTCGAATAATACTCGTAGTTGAAGTTTTAGTTGAAGTGTTTGTTATATTTAAAATGGTATAATGTTAAGTGTAGTTATTGTTCAGTGTAGTTAATTATTGGTCAGCCCACGGGGTAAAACGTAAAAATATGTTGCAAAAGATAGAAACCGTTATCCTTTTCTATATCACCGAATAAAAGTGGAGCCAACTCATTCCTTTCTGCGATCTTCGCTTGTACTCCTCTATAGATGCCGGTCATATTGGACACACTATCATAAGATTGGCCACGACATATGTCCAATATCTAATATGATCGACAAATACTTAATAGTAAACACAAACAGACAACACACATATTTGAAACAAAACACTGTCGTAGAAAGAGATCGACAAGAGAGTTTTCAAATATACTTAGCTTCATCACTCTCGCACGCACGGTGACCAGACGCGTGCTGGCACGTATTCTGAACTATGCTAACGCTACTCGCCAATAATGTTTATGCCTAATGTTGGTCAAAGTTAAGTAAATGATGAGTTGTCCATACGTCGGTAAAGTGTGAATTTGACCGCCCTCTGAACTTGTCGCCCGTGGCGTAGGCCCCACTTGCCCCCCTAGATCCGGGCCTAAGTCTTGAAGTGGTAGTACCTACTCACATCCATGTAATACATTCCTGTCAAGTTCAATTTTCACTCTAGTATTGGTTCTATTAGTTCAGTGTCAGTTTGACAGATACAGAATGTCTAACGAGAAATTGCGTGATTAAAAATTCATAAAATGTTCAAAGGAGTTATTAATAATGCTCCAAAGTTTTTAAAATATCCAAATTCCAGAAACTACACCATGACTAGCATTAGCAAAGGATGGTATTCCAAGAAGATAGTACCGGACGTGATAGACCAACCACCAACTGGAAAACTGGTTATTGAATATCCCGATGTCTCTATTCATGAGGGATATCCAATAGTATATCCTTCGCAAGTCAAAGAACCTCCTGAAGTTTACTGGAAAGTTAGAGAGCATGGTGTATATTGCACCTTGTGTATGCTGGACCCCGATGCACCCAGTCGGAGGAAAAATTATTTGGGAGAGTGGTTGCACTGGCTGGTAGGAAATATAGCGGACTATCAAGTTGATAGAGGTAAATATAGTATACATATATCTTAAAAAACAATGGTTAATTCTCAAACATTTTTGAAAAATTTCAAAAAGAACTCCAGACTCGATCAAATTTATACGACATTCGTAGAATAGCTCACAATATCCATCAAGGAGGGTGAAACGACCAACCAAATATATTCATGAAATATATGAAATGCAAAGAATACTCAGTTACAACAACTCAGAACTTCATTACTCATGGTATTTGCTATATTCGAAATATATAAATATTCGAAATCTCAGAACATGTTCACTTTTGTATTTCAGTAAAATCAATTCAATTCCTCATTACGTGACACTGGGCAAATACTAAAGAACGTCAAATGTATTGTATTATTTATTAGGTGAAAACGAATGATTTTCATTTAGTGTTTCGTGAAAACTACAATGCTTTTTTTTACTCATAAACCACCTCTTGAACTGATTTTTAAGAGGTTTAATTTCGCAGACACTAGCGAAGATAGGTACTTTCGTACAAATTTAGTGTTTTTCTGATTTTATTTGAATGTTTCAAACAACCTTGTTGATTCATTTCAATATTAGTTCGTATATGTATTGTATATTTCAATAATTTGGAAATGCCACTAGCCACAAAATTATCCATCACCAAACGGCATATTCGAGTTGAGACATACAAAAATCTCAGTGGGACCCAGAAAAATCTTTAGCCCCAGTATTACAAAAAAAAGTGATGAATTTTTCTGAACGGACATTATTTACAGATAAGTACAGCATACTAACCAGTGTTGGAAACTTCGCCGAGACTCTAGATGAGGTACCCTTAATGGCAGACCGCCCAATGACATCCTTGAGTTTTCACGTTATTTTTCAGCGAAGTCTTTCATTTGATAGCATCATTTGATGACGTCATTCAATTTTTCGCATCTACTTCAGCAAACCCTGTTATACCCATATCATGGGAGTGCTGAAAAAGTAACTAATCCGCCATTTTGTGCGGTCCGCCATCTTAAATGTAAAATTACTTTATCCAAACTAAAGGTGTATGCAAAATTTCAACTGAATCGAATTGAAATACAATTGCAAGATTTGACCCGAATTAACATACAGTCAATCATTGTAATAAAACAATCCATATTATTATTTTTAGGAGACATATTGGCAGAATATATAGGGGCCGGACCACCAAGGGGTACAGGTTTGCATAGATATATTTTTCTTCTCTATAAACAGCCCAGCAAAATGCATTTCAATGAAACAAAATTAACTAACCAATACTGGAAGGGACGAGAGAAGTTTTCAATGAGAAAATTCGCTCTTAAATATAAGCTTGGTGTTCCGTATGCTGGTAATTATTTTGAAGCTGAGTATGATGAATACGTCGACGAATTACATAAACAATTGAAACTGAAATGAAATGAAAATATTATCTACATCGAATTTTTCACTGTTGTGAATGCTTGCTGATATTCACGAAAAAAATGCGTCTGTGATGAAACAAGTTCTATAAGTATGATTTTTGTGATCATTATAGAAAAAAATAAACGTTTCAAATTAAATTGTCTTAATATAGGTGAATATATCAAGTTGCAGCTGGGATTGTTGCAAAAAACAAACGCATTTTGAATAAAATTATCATCATGAATCCTAGAATTTTCATGTTTATCACCTCGTGGAGGAACCAATGGGTCATGACTGATGGCGGGATGGCGACATGAATGTCCGCAGACATCAGTGCCGCCCTTCACGGTGTACCCCTACCTAGCTGAGGTGAGATGGATGAAAAAATTGTTCATCTTTTAACGGAGGGCATAGGGGCGTCATTCGACAGAGTGTTGGGGCCTTCTATATCGGGAGGGGTCGTCTACAGCATAATCCATAGCTTCCCTAACTAACGGATTTTCATGAGTTTCTGCACAATCAAAAACTCGCTGATTTCTCGACTGAATGAACTGCCGAATGGAAGGCAGCTGTAAATCTCTGCAGATAGCTTCATTCCGCACGAACCTAGGAGCATTTACAATTATCCTCATTAACTTGTTTTGCAATCTCTACAGAATGGAGATATTAGATGGAGCCGCTTTCCAGACGCCTGAAGCATAATATGGCGTGTTGTAGATGGTAATTTTATTTTTAAGACTCATTTTAGATTTTATGTTGATCTCTTGGTACAGACTAGCTATTCGGCCCTCGATCCTTGTTTTAGTTGATATAATGTGCAGGTTCCAAGTGAGCCTGCGGTCTATTAGAAGGCCGAGGTACTTAAGATGAGAGGAGAGCCGTGTCATCGGCGTAGAAAGACACCTTCACACGCTCGGACCTCGGGAGCGCTGGTGTAGAGCAAGTATAACATGGAAGAGAGCATAGCTCTTTGTGGAACCCCAACGAGGATCTCTCTGTTGTCAGACAGGGAGCACTCTGCTGTCTGCTGTGACCTGTTCTGTCTTTCAGGAAGGACCCGATCTAGTCCAGTTTGTGTAGAAGGCCTTCGTGCCAAACACGGTCGAAGGCCTTCGAGATATCTAAAAGGTTAACGATTGTCCCTAAATTAGGAGGCTTTATACTTCTTTGACCTTCCGATCTTAGGGTTTTGAGATATCTACCGGTCGGTCTGATGTAGACGTTGTTGCATTCTGTACAAGCTATTTTGTAGAGTACACTGCTTTGAAGTTCTTTGGATGTTTCTGCTTTTAAGAGTGAAAAATATTGTTTGACACAGTTTTCATTGCTGAAAGTGATACTTACTTCATCTGTTGGAATTACCTTTACAACTCTTATTGGCGCAAATATTTTTTTCATAAATGAGGTTAGTGTTACTTTTTTTATTGTTATGTTGGGATGGTACTTTTTGTGAACTTGGTCTGTGGTACTAGACTGTTATGATGCTGCTATTTTCATTTCTGATCAGGGGAATGTTCAGAAAAAAGATTTTGTTTCATTTTTGCACTCTAGTGTGAATTTCAATATTGGGTGTCAATCGGAGTTACTTTTAAGGGGGTTGCGAAATAAAGTCGCTTTACCCCGGCCGTACACGGACCACATATGTGCAGTTGAGGCAACCACAACATTGTGGCCACGTTGACTGCACTTCGCGGTTGACCCAACCACATTTTTGTGTTCGACTTGCGGTCACATAAACCGCACTTTCAGTTGAGGCAACTGACATCTATATTTTGTGCTGTCAGATTTTTTATTGACAGTTTCAAAATGGATTTCGAAGAAGTACTACTTCTTATTATTTTGAGGAGAAGACGTAGAAAAGTACGATCGCTTTGGGTACATCCACTTCTGACTGTGCGACAACAGGAAGGAAATTTTCATATTTTATTCGATAAACTCCGGCAAGACGAAAAACATTTTTTTAGTTACTTCTGGATGTCCATTACTTCTTTTGATGAATTAATTAGAATTTTGAAATCAAATTGAACGCTGTGAGACCAATATGAGAAAAAGTACACGACGGTGTACGCGGTTGGTTACGACTGCAAGTTTGTGATTACGGCGTATGCCGCGATGACATTTCGGCGGAGATTAGCAGCAAGTTGACTTTTGTGAACGCCCGTGTACGTGTAGTACAGTATTTCTTATGGGCGGCTTGAGTTCGCTGAAACGCGACTGCAATTGTGTGGTCGATCCGACCGCAAAATGTGGCTTGTGTACGGGCTCTTTTAGATGAGGGGGGTACCTGCAGTAAAGGGGAATGTGTGGTTGAAAATAAGGTTGGCATCAGTGACATAGTGACAGCAAATTTGACGTTACTGATACTGAGTTTGAATTGTAGAATTAAAAATTACTTTACGAGTTTAGTTCATGGGTAATTTATGAATTTTCACAAGTTTCTTTCGTGAACATTCTTACTGATTTTACAGTTCTTACATTCTATTTATAGTACCTATATAGAGCGTATTAATAGTTTGAAATGTTTTGATAATGCCAGGACGTGAGAGATGTTTAAATAAATGTTTGAACAATCATCAAAATATTGTGGAGCCCCTCTTTGAATTTTTATAGATTTACTCTGAGCAGTGGATAAATACTAATTTCAATAATTGTGGAATCACAATTGTGAATTGTGGATCACTTAAGAGTGATCCACATCAAAATGAACTCTTCACAAAGATCTATAGATCATATACAAAAATTCTTTCGGACGCAAAGTGAAAAAAAATGTTGGACCGTCACGGGACGCCTGACATCAATAATAATATTTTGTGACCCCTGTGATGATTGTTGGGTACTGAAATATTTATAAAAAATATGTAATTAAAATATACATGAAAAAATTTTAATAAAACTCTAATATTCCAGTAAACGCAAGAATTTTGGCTAGTTATTGCAATATATTACTGAAGATCTCAAATTATAAATATCTATAATAAATGTTTCATTATAATCTCCAACATCATCAGAGAATTAATTGATTAATTAATTTTATGATATTGCTGAGTTCCTGTTGATAACAAATTTGAAAAACACTCGTGCACTACTCACTAACAGCTGATTTTGAAATACAACTTTTGTTAATATTTATGAAATTTATTCTTCAAGCAAGTGTTTTAGTGCATCATTTTTCATATTATTTTCAAAAATTATTTACTTGGTAAAATACAGGTTTTGTACACTGTAGTTAACACAACTGTATACACTACTCGGTATCCGAGCTCAGTATGGCGAGAGAGATAGCGTAACGCTGAACCAGTGAGAAAATAATCGCACAGTCGCTTGCGCAAAGTGACTCGTCGCCATGGCAGCAATCGGTTTTACGTGCAGCTATAGATGGTTCACATAAAAAAAATACATTCGACTACTTCCAAACCTCATTGACCACTGGAGTTACGAGAATATCACTTTTTCTTGCTCAGTTTTTACCGCAAATAAACATTATGGATTTGAAACAAATATCATTCACAGGAACACTAGGCAACGTGATATATGAAACAGTATCAACATAAAATTTCTCTTACATGGAAATTTATCAACTATATGTATGTATATAATGAAATATACATATGTATGTCTCTGTATACGCCTGAAGGTGAACATGTAGAATTGATTTTGTATTTACCTTACCTGTCCTCATTATAAGAATGTGTTGAATAGAATTAGTAAAATAGATACATGTATTAATTCTTTTTTACTGAATATTAAAATTTTTTCTTTGTTAATGTCAGAACAAAAGTATACACTTGCTTTTATTTTACGAAACTGACACCTGGCTCATATTTTCTTAGTACCTACCTCACATCTTCTTGTGAGAATATTTGAAAATTTACTATTCCAGATGTTATTCCAGATGATATTCCATCCCTAACTAACGGATTTTCATGAGTTTCTGCACAATCAAAAACTCGCTGATTTCTCGACTGAATGAACTGCCGAATGGAAGGCAGCTGTAAATCTCTGCAGATAGCTTCATTCCGCACGAACCTAGGAGCATTTACAATTATCCTCATTAACTTGTTTTGCAATCTCTACAGAATGGAGATATTAGATGGAGCCGCTTTCCAGACGCCTGAAGCATAATATGGCGTGTTGTAGATGGTAATTTTATTTTTAAGACTCATTTTAGATTTTATGTTGATCTCTTGGTACAGACTAGCTATTCGGCCCTCGATCCTTGTTTTAGTTGATATAATGTGCAGGTTCCAAGTGAGCCTGCGGTCTATTAGAAGGCCGAGGTACTTAAGATGAGAGGAGAGCCGTGTCATCGGCGTAGAAAGACACCTTCACACGCTCGGACCTCGGGAGCGCTGGTGTAGAGCAAGTATAACATGGAAGAGAGCATAGCTCTTTGTGGAACCCCAACGAGGATCTCTCTGTTGTCAGACAGGGAGCACTCTGCTGTCTGCTGTGACCTGTTCTGTCTTTCAGGAAGGACCCGATCTAGTCCAGTTTGTGTAGAAGGCCTTCGTGCCAAACACGGTCGAAGGCCTTCGAGATATCTAAAAGGTTAACGATTGTCCCTAAATTAGGAGGCTTTATACTTCTTTGACCTTCCGATCTTAGGNATTGCCTGTCACATAAAATGTGGGACACCCGGTATATAAATATATATCAAATAAAAAATAAAACAATTCGTGGACACAACACTCCATAACATGCTCAAGGTTGTCCCTTTCCTCTCATGCAAACCTACGACTTTGTAGATACGTGTGGCAGATACCCAACGGAAAAACAACAACTAATCCAGCTAATGCCCCACAGAGAGTTGAAGTAAAACCATCAAGCACCTGTGACATCATTTTCTCTGCAATGTTTTTCTAAATTGTCAGCAAATGCTTTAGCTTTCTCTTGATCCGTGTAGACGATTCCTTGTTCACCGTGTATTGATGGGCATGCTTTTAGGCGGCCCTTTCTCATAACTTTCTGCATTTTCCATGCAGATTGATCTTCGGTGTTGAGTTCTTCCAGACGGATTGTCCATTGTTGGTCTCAAAGTGCACGCAGCTCTTGCTGCAGGATTCTGCCGGCTCTGCGAGTCCGTTGGTATCCTCTATTCAGGCGTCTTCTGTTTATGACGAATTCCATTATTTCTGGTGTAATGTGGTCCTGTAGATTGAAGCGCGTGGCTGGGACTTCCTGCCCGCTTCTTTCCATGTATAATCGCCTGTTGCAGCTGTGTCGCGGCGTTCTCCAGGTTGGTTTTCATATCGATGCGAGGGATGTTTCCTGTCGCGTTGTGGACAGTGCGTTGGAATTTATTCCAATCGATGATTCCCTTTCGCCTATTCCTACTGTGAATAGGATACGATTGTGGTCTCTGAAGATATTTTGTCTAGTACTTCCATATGCTTTGGGTTTCTTCTTTTATTATTACTAAATAACGAAAACCAAGTAGCTTTCAGGTTAATGCTTATAACTGATAATAATTGACTGTAAAGTTCTATCCGTTTTTCTCAAATTTAGAAGTGAAAAAAAAATGAATAAACACAAAATGTTCAAAACGTAAATATAAACACCAGTTTATATATAATACTTCATTATCTCAACAATCAGTTATAATCATAATCTACAAAATTCTAAACACTTTTTACTTATAAAATGATCGGAAAGAGAAAAAGGAGCTTATAAACTTGTTTTGTTTCGATGGCATCGATTGTTCTGAACTTATTTGTTGGATAGATAAAGTTATTGGTTGATGGAGAATTGGTTTTCTAGGATTTCAATGTCAAAATTGGATCCTTCTCAATTTTCTTTTCTATGCAAACTCCTAAAATAATTGTATATGTTATGTTATTGTATATCATAATAAATTGCCTTATACTTTAAATTTTTGATCCTTTTAAATAATTCATGCTACTCCCAAGTATTAGCTGAACTTACATTGTTTCAATTTCAAAAGTTGCCATTTAAGAAAAGGAAAATGGCATCACAAAATGACCAAACTCGTTTCAGAGCAACGTTGGACGAATGAAAACGCAAGAAAAATTATTACCTAATTTATTTACAAGATTTTCCAAACTATACACATATCAAATTTAAATCTAGCAACTTCCTAAGTAAGATACAAAAATTCACAATGACATTCATTATAATCAAAATATTTAAAAATTCCAATATATCATCACATATAATATGTTGAACTGATTTCATACAATACAATTCCAAAATAAGATTTATTGAGAAATAAATGTTTGAATTTCATTATTGTACGGATGCTTGGCCGCAACCATATAAATACCTATTTTTAATGTGTATTCGGAGGTGGGACCTCATCTGCGACACATGAAGACACAAATATTTTTCAGTGTTAGGATGACGAGATGAGATTGTAATAAACCATGCGTTAATACTGCTTCAGTTTTGTGGAAAATCACTTCTTTCATTACATGCTTTGGCCTTGGGAAAGATTGAATATTTAAAAATATATATCTAGACTTCTTTCATCTTCTTCAAGTTTCCTGAATGCAACACTGTTCATAGTCATCATGAACAAACGGATTTCTGCTTGTAAAAAATTTCCTGTGTTCACAAATTCAATATGAATCATTTTCATGCTCTTTGGTTGCTTCTGATTGCCATATTTCATTTCATCTTGATCAAAGGAATTTTTGGAATGAAGAACTGGAAACTCCTCTAGATGCACTTCAGTTTGCAATTGATAGTGTAAAATAACTGACATAGGATTTGTTTTATATGTCAATAAAATATTTACGGAGAACAAGCAGCAACCAAATCAACAAATTCTTCAGAACAGTTTTGATGTAGTGAACATACAACCTTAGTGATTTGATCTGTATCCAACCCAACAATAATGTTGACATGCCATCAACTAATTTTCAATTTCAATCCAATGTTGCCAGAAATGTATTCCTGTAAAATAAAAACAAAATCAAAATTCAAAGTTTTCATTTGGGGATCTTTTTTAATGATTTATTTACAAAAATGAAAAATTAGAAGGACTATCCACTTTAACCCAAAGGATTCCAAACACTTTAACCCAAAGGATCCCAAACTTATTTCGTCTAATGTCCACTTTGAAAATCGTTATTTTGGGGCGCCTCCCATTTTGAGAGAGAGCAATAATATTGCAACTTTACAATATTAAAAGTATTTTTTATTCAAAATTATCCAATAATCAACATTTGTTTTGAAACTAATCTAATTTGGAGGATGAATCTGATGATTTTAACAAGTTGACCCAAGAACAGAAGCAAGTCGACGCGTTCGGTAACGTGCAAATGATTTTTTTCTTTTCAGTTAGCAGCATTGTAACTAAAGACACGTTCACACACATATAACGACGGAGATTCTATTAAAAATCGTTGAACGATTGACCACAATCTAGGGTACAATTACGGAATGGGGAATGTTCCTCTTGACGAAAATCAAGTAGTTTTCATAAAAAAGCTCTAAAACAATGCATTTTAAACTTATCATTTCAACCTTTTTCTTTAAAAAATTATTTAAATACTTAAAAAAGAGGAATGAAATAATGCATTCAACATTTAAAGGGATTCGTTTCTATTTAACCATTTGGCAACATCGGTTATAGCTAATGAAGGACAATGAATCTGTTACCTGTATGAGACAAACAAAGATGACATATTTCAAAGGCGTGCTGTTCTGTTTACTTATGATCCTAGTTCCGAGACATTCTGTGACATATGACATTTTGTGCACCTAACCTATCTTCCTCTATATAAATAAATGACAAAACAACTGTTGTTTATGTAGCTTGTGGAGGTGGTATTGAACTATAATTTATATTTTGCCTTAATTGTTGATTTATAAAGATTTTTCCTTTCATAAAGTAGAATATCTAGTTACGTATAAATTATTTCAACTTGATAGCTGAGATGATATTGCAATGTGGACATTTGAAAATGGATTCAACACCCATTCTGGTATATCTAATTGCGGATTTTATTGACTGCTTTGATGACATATTGCAGTGATTGAAACAGTCGTTCACTCAACTTTCTAGCAGCTAAAAATTGTCGATGAATGACGCAATGTACGGCGAGCACATCTGGAATTTTGTTTTTCAATTAAGAAATAAAGCCTTCATGACATAGCCGGAGCGTCATTCCTAGCAGCTGATTTTGAGCAAATGTTGATATATTTTCTCGTCTTTAAAATACCTCACGTAAGACAATGCTTCATTAGTTGGCTAAGTGAACTCATCCAACTGAAGTCTTCAGATGATTGCACAACGACTCTTCAATATTTTCAGCTATTTCATGGTGTACAGTAGTTATTACTTCTTTTATTGTGGGTAAAATCAACTTTTTTTAAGTGTGTGGTTTATCTGTTCGAGAAATTAACAAAGAGATATTGTAAGAAACTCGGAAGTCCGTCATCGTTTTGCTTAGCAGCAGTCGAAAAGAGTTTCGATACACTTGGCTGAGCAATATTCAAATGATCTTGAAGTCTTTATCGCTTTATTCGAAAATGATTTTAGACAAAGAATCCGTATTTAATATATTAAGCGCTTTATTGATGTCTCTCCTTTTTTGCTTCCAACATAGTTTTATTTTCACAAATACGTAAGTAAAGTGCTGAGCATAAGTACCTACTGGCTCAATGACTGTGCGAGAAACCACTGATGGAAATAAAAGTACGAAGCGGGGTACGCTGCGTGGAAGCAAATACAGCACGCACCGGTAGGAACAAAAGACAAACATGCAAAAACTCGTTTATCTCATTTAACGCTCAATCGTAATGAGCAAGTAAGAACAAATAAGTATCGATGAACAAGCCGTGTCAATGTTGTGCCGCGCCCGCGGAGTAGGTACAGGTACAGCAGAAGAGAGGGACGACGTGAAACGGTCAAAGAGGGCGAGCGAGTATGATGCGTGCGTGCGGCGGATCGTCACGTTAATCGTCGGCCGGTTGCGAGCCGCGGCTGTGTATTTGAGATTTTGTCATTTGTCCCTCCCCGCACCTACACTCTGCAAACACGGACAACACGAACATTGACAGGCTATAATAAAGAATTAAACAAATAAATCGAACAATATTTGCTCGAGTCAAACGTAAACTAAAATTATTGAATCTTCTAATTTTATTTTTTCTTTATTTTTACTTAGGTACATAAAACATCTCGAGTTCGGCAAGTGCTCAGCTTGGCCGCAACCATATAAATACCTATTTTTAATGTGTATTCGGAGGTGGGACCTCATCTGCGACACATGAAGACACAAATATTTTTCAGTGTTTGATGCCTTTTACTGAAGATCTAAAGATATAAATAGCGTTGTGAACGCATTAAAAATAGTAAATACTCAATATATTTTTATTTTATATTTATACAATAAAATAGGATATAAATATGAACTAAAAAATGGATGTTGTGTAGTAGGAAGATCTTAATTTCAGTGAATTTCAAAATATGAAGTAGCTGAAGTTACAAATCACCAATCCCCCCTTAATTCACATCAACGTCCTAAATTTTTTCTGGGCCCCTTACCCAACCCTTTAGGCCTCCATAGCCTACAAGGAGGCGTTATCGCCCACTTTGGGAAAGACTGCTCATTATGATAATTTTTTAACAAATTATCCGTAATAACTACCATATATAGATTATTTGAATGAAATTTGTTAGTAACCATGGGGATATTTTGTCCATAATTTTATATGAAATTAAAAGTTGCACAGAAACTCATCATCTACATATTGTTTAAATGAAATTAGTTGTGTTGTTCAAAATTACCTGTGAAATAACAATTTATTTTCCACAGAAAACATACTTTCATCTTAAGAAAAAAGAACGAAGTGAAATCAAATAATTCGCTTAAATAAATATTGACATAATAGGAGATATTTTTTTACATTTTTGTGAATTTTCATTTTGCTCCCATTTTTCAGAAAACTTGGAAATTATTATATTCTTTACAAACACTCAAATTGTTGATTGTTTACCAATATTTGATCTAATATTCAAAACCCTTAGATTTTTTGAATGCCTTGTTGAATAGATATGTTGATCACTATTTATTCTGAAAATCAAATTTAAATGTTTCAATTTATTTTTGCTAGATCAATACAGGTGCAAAGTTCAAGTTTGTATGACATTGACATTTCTGAAATATTTTTTTAGATTTTATAAATTGATAATTAGTTTCTCATAATCTAATCTGAAAATTTTAATATTTATTGAATTTCTATTGGATTCAAATTAATAAATATGGAAATATTCATAAGCTTCATAATTATTATCAGATAATGTCTACAGTGAATTGAATTTTATGTATGCGATTATTTAAATTGAAATATAATTAAATCGATATGAAAAATCTTACCATTTGCGAAAGAAACTTCTTCAATGAATACGATTAACTTATGTTTTAATTAGAGGTGAAGGTTTTGACCAAACTGTTATTGGTGCATCTAGCATTCAGGTCATTCTGGAGTCACAGATGTTCCTCTTCTTGGCTGATGACGGTTTATCATGATTTGTTTCTGTAAGAATATTGAATTTATTAATTTTTCTCTTTTGATTATAAACGCATTATTTTTGACTTTGGACTTTGCCATTATTTGATGAAAATGCATATAAAACAAAGTATTTAAAACATCAAGATTTTCAAGTAAATAATTTACAAAATCCCAGCACTTGTTTAGCTATGCACTAGCTTCTTCAGGCTAGACTAAACTTATTCATTGAATAAAGCAAGACATATTTTGCAATTTCATGTCCCTAACAGTATGGAACACCAGCTGACATTTCCATAATATTCAGAACATACATTATAATCACTTTAATGAAATGAATGAAAACACTTTTGTATAATTACCACTAGTTGAAAACTCGGTTTCATCAGGAGTTTTCTAACTTCACATCTCGGTTATATACTTGATAATGGGGTCAAACCCGAAACCGGTCCCATAAATAAAATCCACTACTGGTAATTAGACAAAAGTATTTCAATTCATTTCATTAAAGTGATCATGAATTACCACAAAATAAACAAGTCATCAATCACACATAATACATTATAATAATATCTAGCTTCAATTCATTTCATTTAGAAGTTCAGAGATCCTTTTTTTATTCATGATATGAATTCATTTATTAAATAAATATTTCATAGACAAGAATCGGAACAATAATACACCTCCCAAATCAATAAATTTCCAACAACTCCAAAAGAAATCTCGCTAATAAAGAAAACTACAACAAAACCAGAATATATTATTATTGAAGAGGAAGGATAGGCTAGCGATAAAGCAAATTATCGTTTAATCGCTCTATTCTGCATGCAAAGCCATGCTGAAGTATTTGAATCAACACATTATGCGAGGCTGAATAACTGAACAACTCATCGAGAATTGTAATAGAGCAATCACCTAATACAGGGAGAACTCTTATTATGAATCAGACATTTACAAAGTAAAGGCAAAATTAGCTCTCTATAATATCTGACTCGGAGATATATCAGACATAGTATTATCGCATGCACTGAAGTTCCCATGTTTTTTGGTGCAGTCAATTTTTCAATATTGCATAATTCATCAACAGTTTGTTCAAAAACGAATATTACGAACCTTACAGACAAAACTCTAGTTGAAAAGCAAAAACTAAAAACAATTTTAGCAAACCATACTATGATATCAATGAATTTTTAGAACATAATGTTAGTTCAAGTTTCGTTACCATTTTCATTTTATAGTATAAATCTTTACTGAACAGACTTTAGTGTATTTTTAAGTAGTATGATGAATTTTGCGAATTTTAGGACGAATAAATTCTATTCTATTAAATTCAATAATTCCTTCATAAATATCAACAGTGACATGGTAATACTCTAGCTCTGAGCTTCTGCGAGACATATACTTGGGCAGAGCCTTTTTGATTTTCTACTTCTCCATTAATAGGGAACTTCCTAAGAACGAAAAAAAAAACTCTTCAAAGAGATGTCTAAATCATGAACATACAAAGTGGAAGGAATAAACAACTGAATTAACTATCCACGATTATGAACAGTGAATTATACGAAAATCGCTTTTTGTTATTCACTTGTACACTAAACATTCACATTGAAAGAGTGAAAAACATGATATATGAGAGTATTTTTTTTGTATGTAGTGCTGTAATTTCAACTATTTGTAGTGTTGAGGGGGTACACAAAATAATTTCATACATATAAAAACACATACTTTATTCGATCTACTCCTTTCATAATTTACTATCAAAATTTTAAATTTTCGAGTCAATAATAATAAAGAAGGCTACAATAACCCTGCTGAACTGGTCAGAACAAAAGATATCTTAAAATCCATATCTAGGTGTAAGATGATCTATGGATGGATTGACAGTTGGTGTTCCACTGGCTTGCAGGAATCACACAGATAGGGCATATTTTTAATAGTTCTTTTGGTAACCTCATATCGACGTTAAGAAAACAAAAGTATAAATTCCTAATTAGTTTAAATCAATTCTGAAGTGTTAATTAGTCAAATGTTCTTTTATTACTACCATATATGGTAACGTTATCGATTGGTTTATTGTGGGTTGAAATACAATTGGAAATGCTGCGCCAAAATATTGAGGTCTACTAACGAGACTGAAGATATGTACTACCAAACCCGGTATGACAAATATCTTCTAAAATGAAGTGCCTCCTCCATATCACCGTCAGTCAGACCTACTAACAATTGAGGAATTTACATTAGGGCTGTTTTTATATAAATCAGCTAGAATGAGCTGACATTATGTTGATGGTAACACAGTTTCCAATGCAGGGAAATTCTTCATCTAAAGAATGTTCGACAGATAACTATCCTGAATTGAATTATACATGAAATAAAACAGTCATAAATCAACTCCAATGATCTGGAATCTCTTTATTGTTAATATTCCATCCAATACTATCAGTTACGTTCTCTGAATTTATAACATAGCTGAAGTAAACCAGTATGGGACTTCGCTGCTATTTTGTTAAAAATAACAACACCAGTCCTTTAGCCATTGCTAAATTGGTTGAATTTCATTAGATGAAAAATTGTAGCAAGTTACAAGTTTAGGGTTGACACTTCAGCTTTTAAATCCAAATATGTCGACTATCCACTTACCTCATCTCACACTGGTTCTTCATCCTTCCTAATCTTATAGCTAATTGGATGTTTCTTGACTTGTTAACTTTCTCATAACAATAAGCAATTTGAAATAAATTGCTCATCATTTCAAGAAAATGCGTTTATAACGCAACTGGAAAGTAGTCAAAATACTGACTAGTCTATAGCTTCCCAGCAAGATTTCTGCAGTTAGTTTAATTGCTGCAGAACTCTACCAAGTAAACTGATAACTGCTGCTACCTGAAAATATGAGGCATAAAAAAAGACAAGACAGAAAAAACAGCAGTCCGCCTTCCTGTGTACAATGAATGCATCGAAACTTGCTTACGACTCAAAAGATTGTGGACTTATCAATAAGCCACATTCTATTGAAAAATCAAGAGGAAAATCACTTGATGTAAGACTTGAAGAGTCAGACAGCAGGTGACGTAATTTTTGGAATCCTCTATCCATTGTGCAATTTCTAATTTACCATTCAACTGAATAAACTGTTCCCTAGTTTTTGTAATTTCGAGAGTTGATGGAAAAATAGAAGCAAGTTTCAATTACCACAGTGGTAAAATTCAATTGAACTTCAGCATTACTCGTCTTCCTCATTTGGGCAATTCTCACCTTTCTCACATTTAGACAATTTTCCATCATTTGTTGATCCAATTTTCGATTTTTTCAGAGCTGTTAGTTTCACTCTACCTAAACTGAGAAAAGGGCGAAAATCTGCTTCCTTTAGAACCTCCATCGATTTTTCATCCACAGATACCACCAAGGTTTGACCATTTCTCTCAAATTTTGTATTGATCAAATGCCATCCTTTTGTTTCTAGTCCCCTGTTTTGAGTCGCAAGTTTCTCAAAAATTTTCTTTGGGTCTTCAGAACCTTGAACCCACATTATGAGCTTAGTGTAGATAGGCAAGTCCTTTGGGTGAATGATACTGAGGTGAAAATCTTGGAAAGTCCAGTTTGATATTGTCATTTTCAACCAATCAAAACTAAACTGATTTTTACATTTCAACACCAGAGCTCCTCTAAATTTTATACAGTCATCAAAATGGAGTTGACAGCCTTTGGCGACTGCTTCGTCTATTGCCAACATAAGAGAAGTTCGAATTTGGTCTATCTGACATTTGGAGAGTCTAACACTTGGAAAACCTGTTGGTACAAGAGCAACAGCCAGAATATCATCCAAAGATTTTGTGTTATAAAATTCCATAGGATTCTTCACCTCTTTATCAGAAATCTTGGTTTTGCTTGTTTGCTGATGTGGTGAACCATCACCGTTTTGATTTCTCAAACGTTCCTTTTTAATTTTTCTTTTCTGGGCACCAGAAAGTCTTTTACCCTCGTTACACTGAACAAGAGGCTGCTTACCATCAAAACGACTTGCATTTTGCTGTAGAGTTTGGTTGTCAAGGTTAGCCAAATCATTTGGAGCATTCCTCGAGTTCTCCAAACCTGTCATATTGAGCATTTCTTCAAGTTTAATCAATTCATCCATTATTCATCCCACGAGTGTAGAGGGAACTTCAAGTCAACTCCTGCAGAGCCCCATACAGGAGTAAAGCAGAATTTCATTGGGAAGTTGCTGGGCTTCCCAAAGGTATCGTTAAGGACACTGTGACCTCGTGTCATTCATGCCTCTAGCACGATTACTTACACTTCAGCATTAGGGATTTATTACAGAGGTTTACTCCTCTAACCTTTCATAGACTATTTTTTTAGGGTAAAAAATTTAAAATGAGTTCAAACTCATTCCAAAATTCCAGTAATTGTCATTAAGTGTTAAACTAATGAAATATCCGTTTCTATTGGCTGCTACCTTCAACAATAACATTTAACATCAAGTATTTTACAATTCTAGTATGTTAAAAAGGAATCAAGTAACATGATATATGGGAAATTCTTTGAATATCAACTAAATACCTGAAAAAGGGGTAATCTTTTGGTAATATAGAAATGTGTTCAATTATCCTGACATTACTTCAAACAAAAGAAATGGAGAATGCAAAGATATTAACCATTCCGAAATTGAATATTTATTCAGTGTATAAGATCACTTTCAAATTTTAGTAGTGTTTGTTACTATAAAGGAGGCTTTTGATTATCATCATGAAATTTTGAATTCCATAAACTCCGTTCATACTCGCTATCAGTAAAAATTACATTTCTTGTTTTTCCTAAGTTCTCAACAGTTATTCTATTGAAATTCAAGAATGGCTTAAAATCAATCATCTCCAAGGCTTTTATTACATCCTCTTCAACTGATACTACCAAATCGTGTCCCCCATCTTTTTCTGTTTGTTTCATCACATACCAATTGCTCGTACTGAGGCCTGTATTCTGTCGCTCAAGTCTCATTAGCACTGTGTCTAAATCAGTAGGGGGAAAGG